TCCCATTCTTGGGATACTACACTTACTAGTATGGGTTCCAGCTCTAACCAGGAAAATATAAGATGTGCTATATCACCGTTGTTTCTTAGAGCTGAATAGTACTCCATGGCATACATATACCATATTTTATTAATCCATACTTGGATTCATGGGCACTTGGGCTATTTCTACAGCCTGCGATTATGAATTGTGCTGCTATAAACACTCAAGTGCAGGTGTCTTTTTTGTAGAGTGTCATTGGATCTTTCGGGTAGATGCCCAGTAATGGGATTGCTGGATCAAATGGTAGATCCACTTGTATCACATTAAGGTATCTCCATATTGCTTTCCACAGAGGTATATATATATATATATACCATGAGTACTACTCAACCATAAAAAGGAATGAAATAATGTCATTTGCAGCAATTTGGATGGAACTGGAGACCATTATCCTAAGCAAAGTATCTCAGGATGGAAAAAAAAATACCACATCTACTCTCTAATTAAAGATCCAAATTTTTAAATATGTTTGCTAAATTGTAGTGGTGAACATATATTTAGACATGCAATGAATATGTGGGAGCCAAATATATTTCTGTGTGTCTTGTGAACATTTGTATTTCTGGATAAACACCACCTAGAAGCCTTTGGGAAATGCAAGGTAATCTTCCTTTGCACACATACCCCTAAACCACTATGAGGCCCTCAGAACAAATGTGGCTGTTAACATCTCATCCTCCCTCTGCTTCAATAACCACTGCAAGGCTTTTGAGACCACCAGCCCTAAACAGAGCACAACTGTTCTACATTCATACTAACAACCACTTGTTTCCTGGTCTGTCCTACCTCCATCATCAGCAGAGAGAAGAACATAAAATTACCTGCAGATTATAGTTGTTCTCTTGATCTTATGGCTTTCCTGGAGATAAATCCTCCTTGGGAAATTTCTGGGGAATAAAAAGTAATGTCATCATACATGAACACACATTTATCTTCATACCTAGAAACTTATATTACTTCAAATGATATATTTTTGTGGGAAATGGAGAAGAACCTAGGAGGACCCCAATAACATCTCTGAAAGTATCTTGCTTATTTATTTTTGTGTGTTTATGCCTCTGTCTCCCAACTAAGTTGTAAGCTCTCCAAGGGCAGAGACCTTGCCTATATAGTTAATCATTATATCCCCAATGTTTACAGTGCCTGGCATAAATCTTTAATAAATATTTTTAAATTAATGAATGAATATATGCAAAAAGATTATATAGAAGAGTATATGTGGCAGCATTATTTATAAAGGTATTAGTAAATTTTTGGACAAAATATAAATGTCTAACAATGCAATGTGCAGTGATTCCAAAATGTATTTGATCATAGAAAGCTTTTTCATGGACATTCCATTATCACACAGGGCTTTTTGGAAGATACTTTTGAGAAAAGCTTCCCTTTGAGGGAAAGCTGGATGCAGTTAAGATCTTGCCTGCAAAGATGTGTGAGAGACAAGGCTGTTTAGGTACCTGCTGGGTAGCTTGGTAAGGGTGGATTTTGTCCCTTATACTTATGCATCTAATTTACCAGCATTGAATTGCCCTATTATAATTTATTGCATTCTTTATTTTTTTTAGTTTATTCATGTTTCTTTTTTTTTATTTTGGCATATTATGGGGGTGCAGATTTTAAGGTTTCAATAAATGCCCTTCCCCACCCAACAAGTCTGAGTTCCCAGCATGACCATCCCTGAGATAGTGCACATGTAACTCATTATGTATGTATATACCTGCCCCCCTCTCTCCACCCCCCTCCCCAATACCCTATTACTGTAGTACCTATGTGTCCACTTAGGTGCTACTCACTTAATACCAGTTTGCTGGTGAGTATATGTGGTGCTTGTTTTTCCATTGTTGGGATACTTCACTTAGTAGTATAGGTTCCAGCTCTATCAAGAAAAATACAAGATGTGCTATGTCACCATTGTTTCTAAGAGCTGAATAGTACTCCATGGTATACATATACCACATTTTATTAATCCATTCTTGGATTGATGGGCACTTGGGCTGTTTCCACAGCCTTGCAATTATGAATTGTGCTGCTATAAACATTCGGAGTGCAGGGGTGTCTTCTTTGTAGATGTCATTGGATCTTTTGGTAGATGCGCAGGTAATTGGATTGCTGGATCCAAGATGGTAGATGTCACTTGTATCACGTTTTAAGGGCTAGTCTCCATATTCTGTATCACAGAGGATTAAAGCTAGTTTGCAGTCCCCACCAGCAGTGTAAGAGTGTTGGCTCTCTCCCACATCCACGCGGTTTGTTATTTGAGACTTTTTGATAGAAGGCCATTCTCACTCGGTAGGTCTAAGGTGTTAAATCCTCGATTGTAGTTTGTTGATTTGAGATGGCGGTACTGTCTGCTCTGGTCG